CTTATTAGGATTTATACGTTTCTAGAAGGAAAGGACTTTCTCTCTTCAGTTTTTTCTCTAAGATTCTTAGCCTTATACTAAGTACAAAGTATGGTTATTGAATCCAGTTTTAAATTGAGAGGTGCATAGGATTTTGCCTGTTTGTTTTTTTGTGTTATGTTAGTCACCATGCAATACATCATTAATTTTTGATGAAGTTTTCCATGCTTCATTGTTTGCATAAAGCCCTCAGAGCTCCATGCAATCCATGCCCTCCTAGTACAGTACCCATCACCAGGCTCATCTCCCACTCCATTTTCTCTCCTTTCATTTTTCTCTTCTTTCTCCTAATGTCCTCCATGCTATTCCTTATGTTCCACAAATAAGTAAAACCATATAATAATTGACTTTCTCTGTTTGACTTTTTCACTTAGCTTACTCTCCTCCAGTCCCATTCTAGCATCAATGTCCACAATAGCCAAACTGTGCAAAGAGCCAAGATGCCCTTCAACAGACAACTGGACAAAGATGATGTGGTCCATATACACAATGAATATTACTCAGCCATTAGAGAGGTGCATAGGATTTTTAAAATTACACTTCTCAAGGATTTACAGAATCTTGGCTTACAAACCTGGATGTGGCATGGCATTAGAAGACCATATCTTTCTGGTGGTCAGAGCAAAATAAACTTGAAAACAGTAAAAACAAACAAATAAACAAAAAAATTAAAAAAAAACACTGGTATTTTTCAAAGAGTTAGAGTAAATAATCCTAAAATTTGTATGGAATCAGAAGAGACACTGAATTGCTAAGGAAATGTTGAAAAAGAAAAACAAAATGGGGGCATCACATTACCTGATTTCAAGCTTTACTACAAAGCTGTGATCACCAAGATAGCATGGTACTGGCATAAAAACAGACACATAGACCAGTGGAACAGAGTAGAAAGCCCAGATTTGGACCCTCAACTCTATGGTCAAATAATCTTCGACAAAGCAGGAACAAATATCCAGTGGAAAAAGACAGTCTTTTCAATAAATGGTGCTGGGAAAATTGGACAGCCACATGTAGAAGAATGAAACTCGACCATTCTCTTACACTGTACACAAAGATAAACTTGAAATGGATAAAAGACCTCAACGTGAGATAAGAATCCATCAGAATCCTAGAGGAGAACATAGTAGTACCCTCTTCGATATCAGCCATAGCAACTTCTTTCAAGATATGTCTCCAAAGGCAAAGGAAACAAAAGCGAAGATGAACTTTTTGGGACTTCATCAAGATCAAAAGCTTCTGCACAGCAAAGGAAACAGTCAAAAAAAACAAAGAGGCAACCCATGGAATGGGAGAAGATATTCACAAATGAGAGTACAGACAAAAGTTGATATCCAGGATCTACAAAGAACTTCTTAAACTCAACACACACAAAACAGATAATCAGGTCAAAAAAATGGGCAGAAGACATGAACAGACACTTCTCCAGTGAAGACATACAAATGGCTCTCAACCACATGAAAAAATGTTCATCATCACTAGCCATCAGGGAAATTCAAATTAAAACCACATTGAAATACTACCTTACACCACTTAGAATGGCCAAAATTAGCAAGACAGGAAACAACATGTGTTGGAGAGGATGTGGAGAAAGGGGAACCCTCTTACACTGTTGGTGGGAATGCAAGTTGGTGCAGCCACTTTGGAAAACAGTGTGGAGATTCCTTGAGAAATTAAAAATAGAGCTTCCCTATGATCCTGCAATTGCACTACTGGGCATTTACCACAAAGATACAGATGTAGTGAAAGAAGGGCCATCTGAACCCCAGTGTTTATAGCAGCAATGGCCACAGTCGCCAAACTGTGGAAAGAACCAAGATGCCCTTCAACGGACGAATGGATAAGGAAGATGTGGTCCATATACACTATGGAGTATTATGCCTCCATCAGAAAGGATGAATACCCAACTTTTGTATCAACATGGACGGGACTAGAAGAGATTATGCTGAGTGAAATAAGTCAAGCAGAAAGAGTCAGTTATCATATGGTTTCACTTAATTGTGGTGCATAACAAATAACATGGAGGACATGGGAAGATGGAGAGGAGAAGGGAGTTGAGGGAAATTGGAGGGGGAGATGAACCATGAGAGACTATGGACTCTGAAAAACAATCTGAGGGTTTTGAAGGGGTGGGGGGTGGGAGGTCGGGGGAGCCATGTGGTGGGTATTATGGAGGGCACATATTGCATGGAGCACTGCGTGTGGTGCATAAACAATGAATTCTATTACACTGAAAAGAAATTTAAAAAATTAAAAAAAAAAAAACTCCACACCAAATCCCAAACTCCATATTCTCCCTTCATTACCTGAGGAAGGAATGTGGTAGTGTTGGTGTGATTATAAGTGTTGTACTGTCCAATGTCTATTTGTTCAGAGCCCACTTTGGTGTGCAGGTGTGTCCACAAGGACCACTTTATAACTTTGCTGTTACTGCAAAGAGTTTGGTCCAAGCAGGATCAACCTGATTACTCACTGGGTACTGGGTGGATAAAGAGACTCAGCCCAGGAATCTATCTGTCTCACTGTGAGGCATTTCCACCCACTGACAGCCTTCTTCACTCATGAACTCTTCTGGTTCCATCTCCTCATCATGGCTGCATTGATCTGCTTGGACCTTGCAAGCCTTCCTGTTGCTCTTAAAATGACGGTCTAAGCCTTTACCTCAAACTACAAAGCAATGCATGGTCCATCCCTGTCCCCTCCCCAGTGCCTTAGGTTGCAGGAAGCTCCAGTCATATGGCATTCCTTCTGATCCTCAAAGAAATCAGCTGCTCCCATCTCATTGTGCGCATGCTCTCAGAGTACTTGCACACACTGCTCCCACCTGTGCCTGTCCTCAGTGGCTTTCCTCATGATCCTGGTCACGTTTCCTCTTACCTGCCTCTGCCTTTGCTTCAAGTCCTCTCTGTGCTCTTCTCTGACCAGCCTCTGGAGATCTAAATTTTCTCCTCTACCGCATGTGACTGAGTCACAATAGTGAAGACATTAGGCTCTGTGTTAAGCATTGATGTATTTAAAAGATGGATTCAGTTCCTGGTTTCATCACCAGCCGAGAAGTCAGTCACACAACTGCTCTGAGCCTCAATTTCCTCATCGGTAAGCTGGTGCTCAGTATATTGACTAACTGGGTTTCTGGGAGAATTTGCTGAGGATCTGAACACGCAGAACATGGTAGGCTTTCAATAAATGTTCATAGGAAATCTGGTGAAGTTTTAGGATTCTTCTGTCTATTGTCCCTACATGAACATGGGCATGTATGTGTACCTGGGCATAAGCTTTGGAATGAGAAGACCTGGGATCAACAGCTTGGTACCACCATTTATTAGTCAAGTGATATCAGAAAAGCCATTCAGCTTCTGTAAATGTCAAAGTTCCCAACTATGAAAATGGCAATTAACAATACCTCCCAGGATTGTTATGAGCATCAACTGAGTTAATACAGGAAAATGTTTTGTAAACCTTGGAGTTAAAAACACTACAATCTACCTTTTTGTAATTGTGCCTTGCTCTGTCAATGTTTCATTAGGTAAGATGTGCCTCTGCAGCAGAACTCTAAGTCCCCTTAGCTGGACCCATGAAAACATTTAATGTGGGCTTCAACACAGTGATGACTTACAGTAAGACTTTGCTGAAAATCAAACCCATAATGAGATATCATCTCATCCCTGTTGGATAAGTATCATCAGAAAGAAAAAAGGTGGTAAGTGGTTCTTGACTCAGGTTGCCAGGATTCAAGCCCAACTGTGCTTCTTTCCAGTGTTGGGAACCTTTCAATGCATTGTGAAATGGGAATGCTAATGGGACTGAATTCCTATGTCTTCTGTAAATACTAAGAAGGTAATTCGTGTACAGCACTCAAAATAGTATCTGCACACAGGGCTTAGAGATATACATCATATGACCAGCATCAACAGCAGCCACACCGTAGTGCAGACAATTATCTTTAAGAGAAATCTCTAGTTTCACCACATTATTCGGAAATAAGAATCTTCTGCAGAGCCTTCTCTGATCTCAGATATGAGGAAAAAGTAGAGAATATTTGAATATTCTTATGTCTTCTCAGTCATCCCCTTTGTATACACAAGCACTATTCCCAGCAGAAGAAATCTCTTCACAATATTCCATTCTGTGGATCTCAAAATAGCGCCAGGACACCAGTGTCATGGATCACCTAGTTTGTGGCCTTATACACTTGTTGGAAAGGTTGTCTGACCATGTGTGAAGCCCCAATCACATCTCCAGTAGTAAAGCAGCCCCATGCATTTTGGCCCTGAGCTTGTCCTGGCAGGCATTTGCGTATCTATTTCTTGGGCTGTGTAATAAAGACCCTTCTGGGAGCAGAGGTCAGTGTTTTAGGTAGCAGAGGTCTAGAAACTATTGCTAAAAGCCAGGATATCGGGCCGGGGAAAATCTGTTTTCTCCTTTTGCTCTAGTAGCAGACAGTCTTGGGCCAACAAGAGGGTGTGTATCAGGGGCACAGTTGAGTGCTTCCCAGGCTCTGGTTTCCCAGGAACCAGTGACTGACTGTTCTGGTTAGAAGGACTTAACAGGGATGGGAGAAGCTGAGCTATCACACTATCTGACAGCATTTTCATGAGTGCATAATAGAAAGAGAAAAGAAGCAGTGCCTAGAACAACCAGCTAGAAAACACATTTGAATGCAGTTTGGGGGAAGGATTTTCTACAAGCAGGAGAATACTGTTATATGCAAGTGTCACTAGAGCTCCAAAGACCCAACGGCTAGAGCTGCCAGGATGGGTATGCTCTCTGTCTCTAACCACTAGGTGGTAGCTCAGCCCAAGGCTGGGAAGACAAAGGCGTAGACTTGGTCCAGAAGAGGTGGCAACAGGGGGGCGGGTCCGCCAGGCTGCATAAAGGCAAGGGAACTGTGACTGAGGCTCAAGCTGCCTTAGCACTTGGTTCAGAGGATCCCATCCTAGGGTGATGGCATTTAGCTGGTGGATGCAAGGTGCCCAGGCTGAGTCAACGTCCCCAGCGAGGAGCCCAAGCACTGCTGTGCAAGAGAAGAGGCACGGGGGAGCACTGGTAAATAGCCACACTTTCTATTAAAAATGCCTTGAAAGGAATGCAAAATCATGCCCAACTTACATGTGGAAGAGAGCTAATTCGATATTTAAACAGCTTGATATAATATAATTGGTCGATATCTCTGAGATAGAACTAGACATAAAGAGCAAGTGATTACAGGTTAATAAATATTTTTTATTGATGATGAGAATGCTGACAAAAATTCTAACTCTCTCACCAGATGTGCTCTGAGTTTGGAGGGCAAAGGCATTTTTGAATATAAATCATGGGAGAGAAATTTGAGAAACAAAGGAGTGAAGAATCTTGCTCTAGTATTTGGCAAATTTAAATCCCTTGGTACTTTGTACTGGCTTTGTGGAATTTATGAGAATATCCATCAATCTGATGTTGTGGAATTTCAAATGTGGAAGTCAAGGAAAATATTTATTAAGGAGAAAACAGCATTCTATGAGCTTCAATTTTAACACATGTGTGCAACTTAAATTTATGCCTTAAAGACAGTAACTTTTAGTATGTGATTATGTTCAAATTAACAGATCACTATGGCTAGTCTCAGTTACATCTAGAGGGACTGAGTCCCAGTGCATTTTAGAAGTGTGATATCAAAAACCAATGATGGACTATACCTTGGCTAATAGAACTTAAATAATTAAAAATATATAATATATATTTAAAAAAAAGTGTGAGGACAAATGTTGAGAAGGCACCTATTTTTTTCTCTTAAGAGAGAAAGAGGGCCTGCCAATCCTTCAGAAATCTGTACTCACTTGAGGAAAGTGCAGTGCAGTAGTCTCAGAAATGTAAAAATCAGACTGCAAGGGACTTTGTAGGTTGTGAGTTCAGGATATTTTTGAGCACAAACTTGGGAGGTTGGACAACGAGCATAAAAGGTGAAACTGTCCTGGGAACACTGACATGTGTGGTCACTCCAGTAAGAGGTAGGTAAAAGAATGGGAGCCCAGAGTAAGGAAGGCAGAGAAGGCTCATGAAAATTCTAAGCCTGTGTGTTGGAGGGACATTAGTCCAGGGATCCAGGTAGACTGGGGCACACCAGTCTCATGCTAATGTGTTGAGTCCATTTAACCTCGTTCTTAGGTTGTGATTGTGTTTGGCATGCTCTTGTACTTCTTTGGTAGACTGTTCATCTCTCAGAATCATGAATCAAAACCTGTTTTACAGTAAATCTGTTGCCAAGAAGAGGAGCAATGAATTCCTCATTTCACCTGCTTTTCTTGGACCTCAACCTGAATTCCACAGAAAGCAACTTTTCAGAACCAGATGTCAAGAACAAGTCTTCACCATGCAAAGAGATGGGCATTGCTGTTGAAGTGTTTCTGACTCTGGGTCTCATCAGCCTCTTGGAGAACATCTTGGTCATAGGTGCCATAGTGAAGAACAAGAACTTGCACTCCCCCATGTATTTCTTTGTGTGTAGTTTAGCAGTAGCTGACATGCTAGTGAGCATGTCTAACACATGGGAGACCATCACCATATACTTAATAAATAATAAGCACCTGGTGATAGCAGATGCCTTTGTGCGTCACATTGACAATGTATTTGATTCCATGATCTGCATTTCTGTGGTGGCCTCCATGTGCAGTTTGCTGGCTATTGCAGTGGATAGGTATGTCACCATCTTCTATGCTCTGCGCTATCACCACATCATGACAGCAAAGCGTTCTGGAGTGATTATCATGTGTATCTGGACCTTTTGCACAGGTTGTGGCATTGTTTTCATCATTTACTATGAATCTACTTATGTAATCGTTTGCCTCATCTCCATGTTCTTCACTATGTTATTCCTCATGGTGTCTCTGTATATACACATGTTCCTCCTGGCCCGGACTCATGTCAGGCAGATAGCAGCTCTGCGTGGATACAGCTCTGTGCGGCAAATGACCAGCATGAAAGGTGCTGTCACCCTGACCATGCTGCTGGGCATTTTCATTGTGTGCTGGGCTCCATTCTTTCTCCATCTCATTTTGATGATTTCTTGCCCCCAGAACCTCTACTGTTCTTGCTTTATGTCTTACTTTAATATGTACCTCATACTCATCATGTGTAATTCTGTGATTGATCCTCTGATATATGCTTTCCGCAGCCAGGAGATGAGGAAGTCCTTTAAAGAGATTATTTGTTGCCATGGTTTCAGAATACCCTGTAGGTTCCCTGGCAGATATTAAACAAAAAGTTCTTCTCTCTGTAGCTCTCTTTTATCCTTGATTTAATTATGACAAAATCAGTTGGTGCAGCCAAGGAGTAAGCCAGAAAGCTAGAAATCAAAGCCATGCATTCTGTTTATCATTTTTCCATCTTGAATTTGTACTGCACTTATTTTCCCCTGTGGCAGTTGTAGGGTCAGACATGCATATGCTGCTTATCCATTTTGGGAATGGTCTGTGGCAATCTCTTACTGTCCTGTTTTCCTCCTACTTTTCCTCCTGCTCCTACCGATTTCTGGTGGTCTGATCTATCCTCCATCTAGTAAGTGTGTGCTCAGGGAAGATAAAACATCGTGGATGTTCATCTTTTCTGATGGAGGCATAATACTCCATGGTATATATGGACCACATCTTCTCTACCCATCCGTCCATTGAAGGGTGAATACCCAACTTTTGTATCAACATGGATGGGACTGGAAGAGATTATGCTGAGTGAAATAAGTCAAGCAGAGAGAGTCAATTAGCATATGGTTTTGCTTATTTGTGGAGCATAAGGAATAACACGGAGGACATGGGGAGATGGAGAGAAGTGAGTTGAGGGAAACTGGAGGGGGAGATGAACCATGAGAGGCTATGGACTCTGAGGAACTAACTGAGGGTTTTGGAGGGGAGGGGAGTGGGAGGTTGGATGAACCTGGTGGTGGATATTGTGGAGGGCATGTATTGCATGGAACACTGGGTGTGGTGCATAAACAATGAATTCTGGAACACTGAAAATAAATTAAAAAAATAAATAAAAAATTTTAAAAGTTCAATGAAAGTTTCAGATAAAATAAAATAATTTTTAAAAAAATATTGTGGATGCTGGTCTCAGCATGAGGAACAGCTATAACTGAAATTACAAGTATAACTGAAAGAAAAGCTTCCCAGGAGCAGTTTCATAATTTTACCTGATGCTCCTCAGAGTCATGCACGCTTCTCAAGGTAGAATTAAGTGGCCAAATTCTTTCCATTTGAAATTTCTAGTTCATTTGTTATGGATGTCTCTATAGCTCTCTTTTCCAAAATTTTTTATTTTATGGCTTATGTCCATAATTGTCCAAGTATGGAATTAATTATACTGCTGTCAGTCATGTTTTTGTCATACCCAGACATAAACCTTCATGTTACAAATCTTGCTTCATGTGGTGTGAAAATTCTCTCTGTCTTATTCTGACTCAAGGTTTCCAGATGACTGTTTTGAGGTCATGTCAGGGGCTCTAGGTGCCTCCCATCCTCCATGTAGCACATGCCCATAGCCATGTTATCTTTGACCTTTTCAGACAGAATCTGTCTTGGATTCTGAAATCCCCTCACATTGCAATCTGATTCCAGCAGCTGGAGGTCAGGTGCCTACCTAACACAGGTAGGGAGAAATGTTGAATTCAGATCTGGACTCTGCCACCAACAGGCAATGTCACCTTAATAATCTCATTTCAGGTTCCACATCTGTGCTGAACTCACAGGATGGTCATTAGAACTGCATGAAAAAAATGTGATAACACCTTGAAAACTTGTGAAGCACCATAAAGATTTGCTATTTATTTTAAAGAAATGTTGCAGGTGGAATAAATACTAGGGGAGGATGCAGAGGGCAGTAGTCACTTGTCAGTAATTAGAGCTGTGGCCCAAAAACTTGGAGGCCTGTGTTGCCACAGAGCAGTTCTGTTACCTTGGGCACATCTCTAACTGCTTTGTCTCAGTATTCTTATCTGAAGTGAAGACCTTGGTCCTTACAGCTCTCATATTCTATTCTATTATTTTTGGTGTTAGTATATTTTGTTTTGGATATTCATGTTTAGACTGTTCCCTATGAAGGAAATAGTATAAATAAAGTAAAAGTAAAGACCATTAGGGTCACACAATAGTGAGCTGTTGAAATCTATGGGGACAGAGGAACGTCCTGGGTATAGTTCACACAAATAACTCATAGACATGATCCCCACCCTTGGCAGCTCAGAGTCCAGAAAACAAAAACAAAAACAAAACCAGTGCCGGCACAAGCAGGAGAGTGCATAAAACATCCAAATCTTTGGAAAATGGCAAATTAGCAGGTTGTTAAACAACTAAAGCTCTTCAAATCATTTTAGCTGAACATTCCTATGTGTATCCATGCATGTAAGTGATCTCCACATACTTATGATGGGAAACTGCAGCCCATGTTTGTATGGGATATCTCAGGAGCTTAGGTTCTGTGGAAGCTGGCCCCTTGGCCCACCTGCTCGTCTTTGTGGCCTGTGGTCTTTAGCAGTTTCTAGTACAGAGTAGGGCCTCAGTTGATGTTTGTTATTGGTGTTAAACAAATGTGTACTCAATCTGCTGCCCAATAGCGGATTGTGTGGTTGCACTCACTGAGTGCTAACTGAGGTCATTAGGGCTTCCATCCTTGGGTAGGATCAAACTTCAGCTCTAGCGGTTTACATTGGCTCCACCTGGGAACCCAGCCCTAGTTAGGTTAACTCTCTGCTCTGGTGCTTCATGGCTTCAAAGAAGGTCTGATCTTTCTATAAAGATCTTTAAGGAAATGTTCAAATGTCTTAATCTCTATAAATGAGACACAAATAACTGGTATTCAGAGTTGTCTTCATTTGGAAAAAATACATGTATATAATGACATAGTAAATATCTGTAAATGAGACAATCCCTGGAATCCCAGCACAAAGTTCCCTCTACATACATTAATATAATAAAATCCACTTATGAAAATCCCACAGCGAATATCATTCTTGTTGTGAAAAAACTGAGTGCTTTTTCCTTAAGGTCAGGAGCATGACTAGGATTCCTTCTCTCACCACTGTTGCTCACCATAGTACTAGAAGTCCTAGCCTCAGGAATCAGACAACAACAACAACAACAAAATAAAAGGCATTCAAATTGGCAAAGAAGAAGTTAAACTCTCTCTCTTCAAGATATGATACTTTATGTCAAAAACCCTAAAGACTCCATCCCCAAATTGCTAGAACTCATACAGCAATTCAGCAACATGGCAGGATACAAAATCAATGCACAGAAATCAGTTGCATTTCTACACACTAATAATGTAACTGAAGAAAGAAATTAAGGAATTAATTCTACTTACAACAGCACCAAAAACTATAAGATACCTAGGAATAAGCCTAACCAAAGAGGTAAAAGATCTGTACTCTAGTAACTACAGAACACTTATGAAAGAAACTGAAGAAGACAAGAAAAGATGGAAAGATATTCCATGGTCATGGATTGGAAGAATAAACATTGTTAAAATATCTATGCTCTCCAGAGCAATCTACACTTTCAATGCCATTCCTATTAAAATACCATTGGCATTTTTCAAAGTGCTGGAACAAACAATCCTAAAATTTGTACAGAAGCAGAAAAGACCCCAAATCACCAGGGGAATATTGAAAAAAGAAAAACAAAGCTGAGGGCATCACAATGCTTGACTTCAAGCTATATTACAAGGTTGTAGTCATCAAGAGAATATGGTGCTGGCACAAAAATAGACACATAGATCAATGGAACAGAATAGAAAGCCCAGAAATGGACCCTCAATTCCAGGCCAACTGATCTTCAACAAAGCAGGGAAGGATATATAATGGCAAAAAGACAGTCTCTTCAATAAATGGTGCTGGAAAAATTGGACAACCACATGAAGAAGAAGGAAATTAGACTGTTCTCTTAGACCGTACACAAAGATGAACTCAAAATGGATGAAAGACCTCAATGTGAGACAGGAATCCATCAAAATCCTAGAGGAGAACATAGACAGTAACCACTTCAATCTCAGCCACATCAAATTCTTGCAAGACATGTCTCTAAAGGCAAGGGAAACAAAAGCAAAAATGAACTTGTGGGACTTCATCAAGATTAAAAACTTCTGCACAGCAAAGGAAGCAGTCAACAAAACTAAAAGTAACTCATGGAATGGAAGAATATATTGCAAATGACATTTTAGATAAAGGGCTGGTACCAAGATCTGTAATGAACATCTCAAACTCACTCTCACCAAAAAAACAAATAATACAATAAAAAAAAAATGCGCCAAAGACATGAACAGACACTTTTCCAAAGAAGACATACAAATGGCCAAGAGACACATGAAAAAAATGTTCATCATCATTAGCCATCAGGGAAATTAAAATCAAAACCACGAGATACCACCTTATATTCACTACATCTAGATGTAGTGATGTAGTGAAATGTAGTGAAAAGAAAGGGCACCTGCACCCTAATGTTCATAGCACCAGTGTCCACAATAGCCAAACTGTGGAAGAAGATGAGATGCCCTTCAACAGATGAATGGGTAAAGAATATGTCGTACATATATACAATGGAGTATTACTCAGCCATCATAAGGATGAATACCTACCATTTGCCTTGACATAGATGGAACTGGAAGGGATTATGTTAAGTGAAGTAAGTCAAGCAGAGAAAGGCAATTATCATATGGTTTCACTCATATGTGGAACACAAGGAATAGCTCCTTAGTTTATCTGTCAGTGTGACCCATCCACCTTCCAGCTACCTAAATTCATCGCAAGTTTTCGTCCTCTGACATCTCCTATCCTGTTCTCAGTGCTTTTATAAATTCATTCCTTTTTATACTTATTCCTTTTTATACTTTTTTAAAAAAATGTTTTTTTAAGATTTTTTTAAAGATTTTTTTATTTATTTGACAGATAGAGATCACAAGTAGGCAGAGAGGCAGGCAGAGAGAAAGAGAGGAGGAAGCAGGCTCCCTGCTAAGCAGAGAGCCTGATGTGGGGCTCAATCCCAGGACCCTGGGAACATGACCTGAGCCGAAGGCAGAGGCTTTAACCCACTGAGCCACCCAGGTGCCCCTTGACTGTCATTTCTTTCTTTTTTTTTAATTTACTTTTTTAAAAATTTCTTTTCAGCGTAACACTCTTCATTGTTTTGACTGTCATTTCTATAGATTTTTGGGAAGGAGTGGGGATAGATAATTGAAGGAGAAATCCATTTTGAGCTGCACTTTAGGGCCAGCAGAATCCATCTTCTGT